ATCTTACGGAGCAAGAGAGAGACTGTGGTAAGACCTAAGGAAGGAGGACTGCGTAACAATATGGCAGACTCTGACAGACAATCCCAGCACAAAGATGAAGGGTGGTGTGTAGGCCATCATGGAGTGCGGTGGGTTCTCATAAAAGCCGCTTTTAAAAAATAAAAAAAGGGCAGACCGTACCACATTTAATTAAGCAAGTAAAATATTGTCACAGTGAATGCGTGATTGGAGGATATAGGAAATGTGAATCGGCCTGGGCAGAATGGGAGATACCATAGCCGTTTAGCACACATTCGGTCAAAGGATCGGCTTCACTTGTCTCTTTGGCGAGTTGTAATATGGTGCTACGAATGGCGAGACTCACTGATGATGCCGACTACGATGCCGGCGAAACTTCTGGGAATGTACCGCGTCCACGGTCCGACTTTGGAAATAATTATGCATACAATGGACTCAGGACAAGGTTGGCGAAACGTCTGGGAATGTACCGCGTCCACGGTCCGACTTTGGAAATAATTATGCATAAAATGGACTCAGGACAAGGTGCTTTCCTATTAATCTTCCTACCAATATGACCAAGTTGCGAAAACAGGGTCAAACAATTTCTATACAACGAAAGGAGACTGCGACCACAAAAAAGGCCACACCATCTTGGTCTTATACTTTCTAATAATTGTATATAGTCCCGTACAACAGACTGGCGTCCACTGCAGCCACCCAAAATTGTCGGTAAACAAATCCATTTGCTTACCACTAGGCACACATAAACCGAGTTTAAAGCTAACTGGTGTGGATCAAGGAAAGATCACAGTAACTATCTAAGCGTGATGCTGTCCTTGGTTCGAGTAGACGGACAGTGACAAGTAGAAATAGTTTCTAGACTCTGAGATTGTTACTTGTGGATAAAAAGTCGCTTTATGGACACTCGAAACGGAGAAGGCATCTAATAACGACGGTAGAGGCTTCAATACCTCGTGGGCAGAATTGCTAGCGGCGCCTAACGGCCCCAACCCAGCATTGTCGATGTTGCGCTCATGCGGCGAGGCTCTCTGGCAACCATGGGAATTGACAGCACATAAGACTCTGTGCATAATGGGGATCCCCGGGCTGTCTGGGCACTCAGAACAGACAAGCTCGCCGTACTTAACAAAAGTCAAGCCTGACACATTCTTAACAGACCACCTAAGACAGAAACCCTTGAGCTCGCAACGAGTAAATTCATATAGCAAGGGGAAAAGTGAGCTTCACGGATTATGGAGAATTAACTCCCATAAAATCATCTTTATCAACTGTCGATTTATGGGATTTTCCTATACTTTGTCACCTGTGCCCCATTAAATCAACTAAATAGTTGCTCAGATAAATCCAATCAATTCCACCATTTAGGCAATTCATCTTCCCCTGAAATGCATATACAAAGTGACCCACAACAATATTTTGTTGGTGATTCGAGAAAGTCTCTATTTGATGGGGATCTGTTTAACTTGGAGGCAAAGATATAGCGTTGCTTCAGTGTCAACTTATCAACTGTTTGCTAGACGCGTTGAACATGTGAGGAAGAGCTTACTATTTTGTGAGTTGTGGACAGGAGGATTGTCCTCCACGATGGACACTTGAAGGCATTTTCTACGTTTAAATCAATAATGTGAAGTAAAAAAAATCCAATTTTGCAATCATTCGTAAATGGCGCCTCATTTGATTCAGACGTCTACCATTAGTAATTTACAGAGTTATTTTTAAAGAAAGGCTGCACTATTTGGCGACAAAATTTGTAACGGATAATAAAGCATCTTTCTACTGTTATGGCAAGCGATGAGATCCTACAATTTTACGG